TAATACTACAATTATTCAAATTTATGCACCAACTACCAAAGGCAAAGATGAGGAAATTGAAGATTTTTATCAACTTCTGTAGTCTGAAATTGACCAAATGTGCAATCAAGATGTGTTAATTATCACTGGTGACTGGAATGCAAAAGTTGGAAACAAAGAAGAATCACTGGTAGTTGGAAATTTTGCCCTTGATGACAGAGATAACACTGGAGATTGCATGATAGAATTTTGCAAGACCAACGACTTATTCATTTCAGATACCTTTTTTCAACAACACAAATGGCAGCTATACACGTGGACTTCACCAGATGGAGTACACAGGAATCAGATTGACTAATTTTGTGGCATAAGGTGATAGAAAAGCTCAATATCTTCAGCCAAAACAAGGCCAGGACCTGATTGTGGAACAGACTGTCAACTGCTTCTATGCAAGTTCAACTTGAAGTTGAAGACAATTAAAAGAAGTCCATGAGAGCCAAAATATGACCTTGAATATATCCCTCCTGAATTTAGAGACCATCTAAAGAATAAATTTGATGCATTGAACACCAATGACCAAAAACCCAAAGAATTGTGGGATGACATCAAGAACATCATCCATGAAAAAAGCAAGAGGTCATTAAAAATACAAGAAAGAAAGAAAAGACCAAAATGGATGTCAGAAGAGACTCTGAAACTTGCTCTTGAGCAAAGAATAGCTAGAGCAAATGGAAGAAATGGCAAGACAAAAGAGCTGAACAGATTTCAAAGGGCAGCTCGAACAGATGAAGCCAATTACTATAATGAAATGTGCAAAGACCCGGAGTTAGAAAACCAAAAGGAAAGAACACTGTTGGAATTTCTCAAACTGAAAGAACTGAGAAAAAACTTTTAAGCCTCAAGTTGCAATACTGAAAGATTCTATGAGCAAAATATTGACTGATGCAAGAAGCATCAAAAGAAAATGGGAGGAATACAAAGTCACTGTACCAAAAAGAAGTGGTTGATCTTCATCCATTTCAGGAGGTGGCATATGTTCAAGAACCAATGATATTGAAGGAAGACGTGGAAGCTGCACTGAAAGAGTTGGGGAAAAACAAGGCTCCAGGAATTGACGGAATACCCATTGAGATGTTTCAACAAACAGATGACCCACTGGAGGCACTCACTCAAGAGTGCCAAGAGATTTGGAAGACAGCTACCTAGCCAGCTGGCTGGGAGAGATCCGTATTTGTACCCATTCCAAAGAAAGGTTATCCCAAAGAATGTGGAAATTATCGAACAATCTCATTAATATTGCATGCAAGTAAAATCTTGCTGAAGATAATTCAAAATGGTTGCAGCAGTATATTGACAGAGAACTTCCAGAAGTCCAAGCCAGATTCAGAAGAGGACATGGAACAAGGGATATCATTGCTGATGTCAGATGGATCTTGGCTCAAAGCAAAGAATACCAGAAAGATGTTTACTTGTGTTTTATTGACTGACAAAGCATTTGATTGTGTGGATCATAACAAATTGTGGATAACATTGAGAAGAATGGGAATTCCAGAACACTTAATTGTACTCATGAGGAACCTGTACATAGACCGGGAGGCTGTCATTCAAATAGACTAAGGGGACACTGCATGGTTTAAAATCAAGAAGGGAGCGTGTCAGGGTTGTATCCTTTCCCCATACTTATTCAATCTGTATGCTGAGCAAATAATCCGAGAAGCTGGACTACATGAAGAAGAACATGGCATCAGGATTGGAGGAGGAATCGTTAACAACTTTCAATATGCTGATGACACAACTTTGCTTGCTGAAAGTGAGGATGACTTGAAGTACTTACTGATGAAGTGTGAAGAATACAGTCTGCAGTATGTATTATGTCTCAATATAAAGAAAACAAAAATCCTCAGTGTTACGATAAATGGAGTAAAGATTGAAGTTGCAAAGACTTCACTTTGCTTGGTTCTACAATCGATGCCAGTGCAAGCAGCAGTCAGGACATCAGACGACATATAGCACTGGGAAAATTGGCTGCAAAGAACCTCTTTCAAGTGCTGAAGAGCAAAGATGTCTCCTTCAAGACTAAGGTGCACCTAACATAAAGTATGGTAATTTCATGCATGTGAGAGCTGGACAATGAATAAGGAAGACCAAAGAAGAATTGATGTTTTTGAGCTGTGGTGTTGGCGAAGAATGCTGAGAGTACTGTGGACTGCTAAAAGAACCAACAGGTCTGTCCTGGAAGAAGTGCAGCTGGAATGTTCCTTAGAAGCAAGAATGGCCAGACTTTGTCTCACCTACTTTGGTCATGTTGTTAGAAGGGACCATTCCCTGGAGAAGAATGTCATGCTTGGTAAGGTGGAGGGGGTCGAAGAAAGAGGAGAAGGCCCTTAATGAGATGGATTGACACAGTGGCAGCGGCAGTGGTCTCAAGTACAGCAATGATCATGGAGCTGGCGTGGGACTGGGCAGTGTTTGTTCTGCTGTGCATAGGATCACTATAAGTCAGAGACGACTTGACGGCACCATGACAACAAACGGGAGGAAAAAAAAATTTCCTTCAAGTCAGTTGACTCATGGCAGTCCCATATGTGTCAGAGTAAAACTGTGTTCCATCAAGTTTTCAGTGACTGATTTTTCAGAAATAGATCGCTAGGCATACTAGATCACTTCCCAGGAGGAGTCCCTGAGAAGCACAGTTAAGCAATGGATTACTAACTCAGTGGCTAGTGGGTAGGTGCTGAACTGCTAATCCAGAGGTTGGCAATTAAATTGGATTTAAGTCTGGATTACTAATTGAAAGTTTAGCAGTTCAGCCCACCCAGAGGTTTTTTGGCTGCAGAGCCAAATGGTAGACTAAGATTACATTTCCTTTATTGTGCACTGTTGGTTTGTGTGACATTTTTATTGCCTTTCCACTACTTGACTTTATGGTATCTTTAAATTTCCACACTCTCTTTGATATAAGGGCAGTTTCCAGCCCTGCTGCACAGCTATCCTAAGTCGTCACTATTTTCTGACAGTGGAACCATGATGTCCTGGATACAGTATCTCCTCATTCTTCCTTCTGTTGCTGGAGCATACTCTCAAATAATGAAGATGTTTAGTCACATCTGTAGGGACAATTGATAGGATATCTTATTCCTTTATATACTGTCTTGGCCTGGCTTTAAGAACTCAGGCTTTCTTCTAAGGAAATCCCTTTCCTCCCACTCAATCAGCCTGTTTTCTTTCATTTTGCAATAATTTATCCAATATCCATATTCTAAGCCTAAAACCTATTTTTAAAATCAATTCCATTAGTCCTTGAGTGTCTGGCCCTTGGTTCTTACTAAGCATTACAGAAGCAGTCTTTTACATTTTCCTTCTTGACTATAAGATTTGTTGATGTTTTGCTTCCCTTCCCCCCAACCATTGAGTCAGAGATATGACATTCCCTGTATCATACACAAAGAATTATTCTTTGTGGGCCTCTATTCATTGATAAAAGGCCAAAATCTTACTTTGGGATGTATCTCTGGAATCTACTATCATGATCAAGGTTTGTGTTTTTTTATTTATATGATAAACCATCTACCTACCAAGGACTGGCACAAAAAATTCAAAGCATTTAAGAGTCCCATAAGTTTTGCAGTCCTCCTCCTGTTCGTTCTAAATTCACAAAAAACAAGCAACCAAAAAACAAAAAAAGCCATCTGCCACTGACTCAAGTCTGACTCATGGCAAACCCATGTGTGTAGAACAGAACTGCATTCCACAGGGTTTTCATGGCTGTGACCTCTCAGAAGCAGATTTTCAGCCCTTTTTTTCTGAGGTGCCTCTGACTGGGTTTTAATCACCTACTTTTTGGTTAGCAGCCCAGCGGTTAACCATCTCTGCCTCTCAGGGACTCCCAGATTCACTTTCAACTACCCTAGTATCCCAAAAGTGTCTAAATCTTCTACATTCCATGAGAAGAAAGGGCAGGTGTGGACTATTAGTATAAACCTATTGCTGTTGAGTCGATTCTGAGTCATAGTGACCCTGTAAGAACTGAGAACTGTCCCATCGGGTTTTCAAGGCTGTAAATCCGTAAGGAAGCAGACTGCTACACCCTACTTCCACAGAGCAGCTGGTGAGTTTGAACCATCAACCTTGCAGTTAGCTGCCAAATGCTTAGCCACATACCACCAGGGCTCCTATGGACTACTAGTATAGGTCCCTACATATTTGAGTGGGCATTGAAATTAATCATGTGGATGGGAATAAAAAGGAACCCACACAGAAAAAACAAATCTCCCAATCAAGTTTAGAAACATAATTTTACATTGTTGTTTTCAATGCCTACTCACCACATCAGATTCTTTTCACTCATTATTTTCTTGTTCTACTGCATAATTACACAGGACCCTCATAATGGTATTTATCAGAGTAATACAAAATTCCAAGGCTCAGATTCCCCACAGTGGGCCTCGATGGTCTACCAAAAGACCATTACATCATAATGTAATCTCTGAAGGCTTTTTCTGAGTACCTCCTTCTATGGGCTTTGTTGCTTTGGTCATGTTATGAGAAAGGACCAGTCCCTGGAGAGGGATATCATGCTAGTTAAAGCATAGGATCAGGGAAAGGGGGAAGGCCCTTAATGAGATACATTGACACAGTGGCTGTGACTACAGGCTCAAGCATGGCAACAATTCTGAGGATGGTGTAGGACCGAGCATGTTTCATTCTGTTGTACGTAGGGTCACTGTGAGTCAAGACTGACTTGATGGCATATAACAACAACGGGATTTTGCATTTCTCTTATTTCCCTAATTACAATAGTCCATCTCACCATAATGTCATAATCCCCTAAAACCCAAAGTGCTCTGCAAACTCTTCTAATTCCAGTAGCCCCAGAAGGCAGGTGCAAACTAATGGTCAAAACTGGACACTATAAAGAACAAACACTGTCACTTCTTACCCAGGGGATAAAAGAAAATGATCAAACATAGTCCTTAAGTATAATTTAAAAAAATGGAGTTGGGAAAGCAATAATGACTTACACAGGACGCTAGGATTATCAATAAAGACATGATCTGGATAACTCTAGGTACAATGGGAGTTGAGATGCAGGATGAGAGAGCTTATGGGGAGGGAGAGAGAGAGTTCAGGTTACTGGGGGGCTGACTTCCCAGGAGAAGCAAGATTCTGAAAGAAATGTACTATTTGGACAGGTGAAGAAGTGGTCATTTCAGATGAGGGGAACAGCATGAAGAGAGGCATAGAGGTAGGACTTCCACAGCACATGGAGATGATGGGGGAGACTGTGACATAGTGGAAGCAGAGCAGGGGGACAGTGGGGCTCCACTGCTGATGGCTCTGTGACTTGGACAGGTGTCTTCCTAGTATGCAATTTCTGATGTTGAATATAGCTTGCACTCCATTTGAAGGCTTCATAAGGTTTTTCCCCAGTGTGAACTCACTGATGCTGAATCAGGGTGGTTTTCTGATTGAATGCTTTCCCACACTCTTGGCATTCATATGGTTTCTCCCCTATGTGGATTCTCTGATGTACTATAAAGTGTGAGCTACAACTGAAAGTTTTCCAACATTCATTACATATAGAGTTTTTCCCCAGTGTGGACCCTCTGGTGCTGAGGAAATACCCAACTCTGGTGGAAGGCCTTTCTGCACTCTTTACATTCACAAGGTGTCTCCCCAATGTGGATCCTGGGGTGCTCAATCAGGACTGAATCAGGACTGAACTTTTTCCCACATTCCTGACATTCATAGGGCTTCTCCCCAGTGTGAATTCATTCAGGAAGGATGCAATCCCACACTCCTGACATTCATAGGGCTTCTCCCCAGTGCGAATTCACTCGTGAAGAATGCAATCATAGCTATACCTGAACGCCTTCCCACACTCCTTACATTTAAAGGGTTTCTCTTCAGTGTTGATCCTCTGATGCTGAATCAGTTTTGAGTCATAGCTGAAGGTTTTCCCGCAGTCCTTACATTTGTAGGGCTTCTCACCACCATGAAGTTTCTGATGCTGAAGAAGGTGGGAATTTTGACTGAAGGCTTGTCTACATTCCTGACATGAGTAAGATTTTCTGATCTTACTCATGTCAGGATGAGTGGATTTTCTGATGCCGTGACGACTTTGAGTTATATCTAAAGGTTTTCCTGCATTCTTTGCATTGCTAGAGCTTCTTATCAGTGTGAATTCTTTGGTGCTGGTGAAGGTCTGAATATTGGTTGAAATGTCTACCACACTCAATACCTTTATAAAACACCTGTTCTCCAGGAAGGCTCTGCTTTTTAATGAGATTGGGGCTGGCACTCCTGCTTCGTTCCAATTGCCTGGCTATCTCTTCTCTGTAAAAAATAGAAGATTTATGATCCTAAGCTTTCACTTCTCCTTTTTTTGACCTTGTTTTCTTCCCTGTGTCATAGAGGTGCAAGTTCTCTACCCTGTCCTTGAAGTGAGGATGCTGGGGAGCATCCATCAGCAGCCTCTGTAATATCAGTCGAGGGGATACTGAGTCTTCTGAAATGTTCAACTTTGGAGGTGGGTCCTCAATGTCAGGCTTGCTCTTACCACCTCGCATGGTAAAAAGAGAGCACAAGGGTCACTTTAAAAAAAAAAAAAAAAAAGATTTTATTATTTAGAGTAGTTTTTAAATTTACAGAGCCATCCATAACAAATTATGGATAGTATTGAGAAGAATGGGAATTCCAGAACACTTAATTGTTCTCATGAGAAACTTGTACATAGACCAGGAGACTGTTGTTTGAACAGAACAGGGGGACTCTAAACCAAAAAGCATGCTTTAAAATCAAGAAGGGAGTGTATCAGGGCTGTATCCTCTCACCATACTTATGCAATCTGTATGCTGAACAAATAATCAGGTTGGACTATGTGAAGAAGAACGTGGCATCAGGATTGGAGGAACACTCGTGAACAACCTGCAGTATGCTAACAACACAACTTTGCTTGCTGAAAGTGAGGATGACTTGAAACACTTACTGATGAAGATTAAAGTCTACAGTCTGCAGTATGGATTACACTTCAATATAAAGAAAACAAAAATCCTCACAAGGGGACTAATAAGCAGCATCACAATAAATGGAGAAAAGATTGAAATTTTATATTACTTAGTTCTACAATCCACACCAATGGAAGCAGAAGTCAAGTTATCAGACATTGTATACCATTGGGCAAATCTGCTGCAAAGGACCTCTTTCAAGTGCTGAAGAGCAAGGATGTTTCCTTGAAGACTAAGGTGTGCTTGACGCAGGCCATGGTATTTTCAATCACTTCATATGCATGTGAGAGCTGGACAGTGAATAAGCAAGAGTAAAGAAGAATCAATGCTTTTGAGTTGTGGTGTTGGCAAAGAATGCTGGAAGTACCATGGACTACTAAAAGAACTCACGAATGTGTCCTGGAAGAAGTGCAGCCAGAATGCTCCTCGGAAGCAAGAATGGCCAGATTTCGTCTCACCTACTTTGGTTGTGTTGTAAGAAAGGACCATTCCCTGGAGAAGGATATCATGCTTGGTAAAGAGGAGGGACAACGAAAACAGGAAAGGCCCTCAACGAGATGGATTGACACAGTGGCTGCAACAGTGGGCTCAGGTATAGCAAGGATCATAGGGTTGGCACAGGACTGGGCAGTGTTTCATTCTGCTGTACATGAGGTCACTATAAGTCAGACATGACAGCACGTAACAACAATAACAGCAACAACAAGTTTACAGAAAAAGTGTAGAAAGTAGCGTTTTCATATGCCCCCACCCCCACTTCACACTGTTTCTATTATTAACATCCTACATTGTGTGGTACCTTAGTTACAATTGATGAACGAATAGTGATATGTTATTAACTAAAGTCCATAGCTCACATTAGGGTTCACTCTTTGTGTTATACAGTCTTATGGGTTTTGACAAACCTATAATGTCATGTGTCCACCATTACAGTATCATAGTTTTACCACCCTAAAAATGACTTATGTACCACCTATTTATCCCTCCTTTACTCCCAAGTAACTTATTATTTACACTAGAAGAGGAAAGGGATTAAGCAGTATTAGTTTGCCCTGATGACATGTATTTTTGGAGAGAGACATAGCTACCTGATGGTGCCTAAAAGGAAAGTAGAGACATTAGACATGAAAAAGGCAAGCAGTGCCATAAGGAAACAAAAACAGTAGAGATAGCAGAGGCTGTTAATTGAGGCAAATGGAGAAAGAAAAATGGGAAAGTTGCAGGAAGGGGATGTGATGAAAAAAAGTAGAGGGCACCAAAGGTGAGGAGAGAGATCTTTAAACTGGAGAAGGGAGAGCTGGATAAATAGCTCTACTCACTGCCATTGAGGTGATTCCAACTTATACTGATCCCCATTGGGTTTCCAAGGCTGTAAGTCTTTACAGGAATAGATTGTCTCATCTTCCTCCCACGGAGAAGCTGGTGGTGGGTTTGAACCACTAACCTAGTTAGCACCCAAATGCCTTACCCACTGTGCCACCAAACCAAAAACCAAACCCACTGCCATCAAGTCAGCTCTGACTCATAGTGACCCACATTGGTTTTCCAAGGCTATCAGTCTTTACGGAAGTAGATTGCCTCATCTTCCTCCTGTGGAGAAGCTGATGGGTTTAAACTGCTGACCTTCTGGTTGGCAGCCAAATGTCTTACCCACTATGCCATAAGAGCTCCTTAAATAGCTCTGGAACCACATGATATGGGGGGCTGGGAGATGCTGTCTACAACAGTGGATCCCAAGGCCCAAGAACACATGACAGCTGTCAAAATACTTAAAAACACACCATAATATTTTAAAGAGATGATCTCTGTCACAAGCCTGACTGGGAAGAGACTGGAGTTGTGATGAGTTCACAAGAATGTCACTATTTTAAAAACTATGTACTGTAATTTGTGGTGGTTGTCAGCAGCAGTTAAGTCATTCCCGCTTGTGGTCCCCTTATGTGTTGCAGAGTAGAACTGCTCCATAGAGTGACCTTTTGGAAGATCTCAGGCCTGTCCTCCCAGGTACCTCTAATTCAAATTGTCAACATTTTGGATAATAGTTGAACACTTTACTGTTAAACCTATATGATTATTATAGAAATATTACTACTTACAATACAGAAATCATAAAAATTTCTGAAAACATTTAAAAAAAAAAAACCTATGTACTGTAATCTTGGAGAGAGGAGTGCAGCATAGAGACGTGCTTTTGAAAGAAAAAAAGACGTGTCTGGTCAAGCACACTGCCAGGACTAGAGATGGCAATGGGTGGGCTGGGACAGGGCAGGATGGTGGCAGTCTCATGCTCTCATGGGTGTCATAGAAGCCTTTTTTGCCTTCAAGCACTTAATGGGCTCCAAAGGTCTGACGTTAAAGTAGCTTCTTGTTGTTGTTGTTGTTGTAATGTGCCATCGAGTCAGACCCGACTCATAGCGACCGCTCCTTGGGTTTCCAAGGCCGTATCACTACGGAAGTAGATTGCCTTGTTGTTGTTGTTGTTGTTGTTATGTGCCGTCGAGTCAGCCCTGACAAGTAAAATGGCACAGTCCCGATGTTACCAATCCACATGGCAGGCCATTAACTTAAGTCCATTGTAAGTCCCAAGGTTGGCAGAGCATAGCAGGCTGCTGAGCAACGACACAGCTACATGCAGGGTCCAAGCATGCCATAGGCCAGAGACCATTCCCAAGGCTTCTCCTTATATTAGATACATTATATACAGGAAGCACACCACATTCCAAAGGCAGCTACTCAGCTGCTTGTGGTAGATCCCACCATGGAGTTGATTGCCAGTCTCCTCATTGGTGATGACTACCACCAGCTGCCCAGACACTCACCCAGGCCCAGCCAATTTGACACACAAACATAACTACCACAATTCTACCCCTTGTTAACTTGCCATCTGTAAAATTGGGTGGAATCTGTACAGATCTCTCTGGGTGGCTCCAGTCCCCTAGTTCCTCTAACTGGCAAGCTTACCCCCTTGGCCTGGCAGGCCCCGTTCCTCTCCCTTTTGAGCATGGCAGCCCCGCCCCCTCACTCTTGGGCAATGGCTATGGCTCCATCCCACTGGCTCACATGTACGAGCAGCCCCATACTCCAGAACCAAGTTGGTGAAGGCCTAGCTCTTTGAAACCTAGGGGGCTGTGGTGGTTCCGGCCCTAAAGGCCATGGTCCTACCCTTTCAGGCTGAGGCAGCTCTGCTTCCCTTTCCTTGGTCTCTCCGCTTCTGCCAATTAATGCCCAAGGGCAACCCACTCCACCAGAAATCTTCCTGCCCCCCCCCCCCAAAAAAAAACACTCGGCTTTCTTGCTCCATGGGCCGGCCAACCTGCTACTCCATTTTATGCTGGTCTTCTCTACCAGTTAACACTCAAAGGCAACCCACTCTGCCAAGAAGCCATCTACCGAATGGCACCAGCTTTCTCCTTCGTGGGCTGGTAAGGCTGTCGCTGTCTCATGCCGGTTCTCTTGGCTCTCTTCCTGCCGACTCTCATGCCAGTCTCTCGGCTCTGCTCCTGCCGTCATGCCATATGCTGGGGTCTCTCTGCCAGGGTTTCGGGTCAAGGATGCACTCCACTCCTGTTTCTACATTTTAGGTATCTGTCAGAGCAGCACCCCACTCTTGGTACCATATCCTGTTACCTAGTGCCACTCTGACAAGAAATATATTGACATACATAACTACCACAGACCATGACTGACACTTTTGATCATGACCCAGTATACATATACTTACATACAAACATGCACAGAAATGAAACAAACGTTCCAAAACACAATACTTACCTTAATAAGAGTGATACATTCTTTATGCATTTTATACTATTCTACTCTGTTTTATTCAAGTCTAGACAGGCTAGTCTAATTTTTAAATGCTGTTCACAATTCTTTGATGATTTATATCTCAAAGTTTGAGAAACACAGGTCTACACAATCAAGAACAGTGGTCCTCAAAGCGTGATCCTAAGGGCAGCAGCATCTGGGAACATGCTAGAAATGCAAATTCTCAGGTCCCACCTCAAGCCTGCCCAATTAGACTCTGTGGAGGTGGGGCCCAGCAATCTGTTTAACAAGGCTGCTGTGGCAATTCTGATAACCACCAGAGTGAAACACAGTGATACAGAAATGCAAAAAGCAGATTAAGGCTATTCTTTTAATTGCTTAAGGCTACTCTGTCCACTAGCCATATGTGGCTGATTAAATTAAAATTAAATGAAATTTAAATTCAATTCCTCAGTCACACTAGTCATTTTTCAAGCAGTCACTAGCCACGTGTGAATACTGTATTGGATGGTGCACCTATAGTGTAGAAATTTCTATCGGACAGTGCTTGTTTAAATCCCTTAGCAGGCTAACTAGACAACATGCAGCTGTGCCAAAGGGAAGCACTGACAGTTACAAGTAGATGGCTGGGAAAGGTTTTTCACCATGATGACGTGAAGTGCTGGAGTCATACCTAAAGGCATTGCTTAAGACAGAACAAACCAAAAACCAAACACACTGCCATCAAGTTGGACCCAACTCGTAGTGCCCTCTCCTTGGGTTTCTGAGGTGGTGTCACTATGGAAGTAGATTGCCCAACTTTCGGTGAGTTTGAACCGCCAGCCTTCTGGTTAGTAGTCAGATGTCTTAGGCACTATACCACCAGAGCTCCCTCTTAAGACAGAAGTGGGAATGAATTAGAAAAGAGTATTTGGTTTTCTTAAGGATCTCTAGTGGTGTAGTAGTTAAGACATTTAGCTGCTAATCAAAATCAGTTTGAACCCAACAGCCACTTGCAGAAGACAGATGAGGCAGTCTGCTTCCGTAAAGATATACAGCCCTAGAAACCCAATGGGGCTCACTATGAGTCAAAATCAAGTTGATACCAATGACTTTGGTTTTGTTTTTTGACTTGGTTTACATAGGCTTTGGATAGCATAAGGGATTAAGAGAGTATGAAACAAGGGCTGATTGAATAAGAAAGACTGCATATCACATCATTACTTCAAATAATATCTTTGGTCATTCATTTCCAATTTATAAACAAGCTTTCTTCCAAAGGCTAATTTGTAATTCAGTGTTCAGGAACTCATAATGTTCTTAAACAAATTCTGTGTATTCCTAAGTTGACCAAAAGAAGCCGATCTGCACTGAAGAGAGTTTGAAATCCTTTAGCTTTACAAAGAAAAATGACAGGAAGTGAAATGTTTTGACTAGTCTTTTCTAGTTTTGGGCTGAAGCTCAGTAAGTGACATTTCTCTGTATAAAAGTGACCATTTTCATGCTCATAACAGCCAGATAATAGAAGAAAAACTTTTTCCATGTTAAGTTGTTAAAACAAATGAGGAGACAAAAGTTGTATGATAGATATATTTACAATAACAACAACAACAACAACAACAAAAAAAAACGAGTTGCTACTGAGGCTGCTTATATACAACAAAACACCTCATAGGATTTGGTTCCTTGGTTTGGAGTTTCAGAGTTATGGTTTCATGGGACATCCCAGTTAATTGGCCTAACAAAGAGTTTAGTGCTACTGTTCTACCTTCTAGTTCATAGCATGGTGCCTGGGGTCTTAAAAGCTTGCAAATGGCTGCCCAAGACACAATTGGTCTCTATTCAACTGGAGCAACAGAGCAAAGAGTCAGGAACAGGAGGTGGATTATTTGCCTCCTAGGACTGTGGAAAGGAGCTCTGGTAGCGTAGTGCCTAAGACAATTGACTGCTAACCAGAAGGCTGGCGGTTCAAACCCACCAGCCACTCCTTGGAAGGAAAGTTGGGCAATCTACTTCCATAGTGATACTGCCTCGGCAACCCAAGGAGGGGTCGCTATGAGTCGGGTCCGACTCGACAGCACATAATAACAACAGGGCTGTGAAAAGGAGCTTTGGTGGCATAGTGGATAAGGCACTTGACTGCTAACCAGATGGTCAGTGGTTTAAACTCACCAGTCACTCCACAGAAGAAAGACAGGGTGATCTACTTCCCTAAAGATTTACAGCCTTGGAAACCTAATGAGGGTTGCTATAAGTCAGAAAATGATTCGATGGCAGTGAGTTTGGTTGTTTTTTCTTTCTTTTTTTTTTTTTAAGAGATATGGAAGGTGAAGGAAACCCTGACTGTTGCCCTGAGATAATCTCTAAACTTTAACCAAAACTATCCCCTGAAATCATCTTAAAACCAAACCAGAGTTTGACTTACCTAATAAAGAATGGCTGCCTT